ATACGTAGCAATTAACTTAGAATAGAATTAATTTAAGAATAAGACAGAGAGCCCAGGAATAAACCCTCACATATACGGTCAAATGATTTTTAACAAGGGTAGTAAGACCATTTAGTAGGGAAAAAAGAGTCTTTTCAACAAATGGTGCTGGACAAACTAGATATCCACATGCATAAGAATGGCGTTGGACCCTTATCTAATGCCATATTAAAAAATTAACAATGTATCAAAGACCTAAATGTAAGAGTTAAAACTATAAAACACTCTGAAGAAAAACATAGGGCAAAAACTTCACAGCCCTGGATTTGGCCATGATTTCTTGGGTATGACAACAAAAGCACAAGCAACAAAAGAAAAAATAGATAAATCGGACTTCATGAAAATTAAAAACTTGTGTGCATCAAAGCACACTATTAACAAAGTGAAAGAGCAATTCATGGGATGGAAGAAAATATTTACAAACCATATATCTGGTAAGAGATTAATATCCAGAATATATAGAGAACTCCTCAAACTCAACAACAAAAACACTGATTCAAAAAATGGGCAAAGGATTTTCTCCAAAGAAAATATACAAATGGTCGCTACGTACAGGAAAAGATGTTCAATTTCACTAATCACTAGCAAATGAAAATCAAAACCACAATGAAAAACTACCTCTCACTTATCAGGATGACTACTATCAAACACACACACACATACACATTAAAAAACAAAAAGCCCAGAAAATAACAAGTGTTGGTGAGAATAAAGAAATATAGGAACACTTGTGCACTTTTGATGACCGTGTAAAATGATACAGCCACTGTGGAAAACAGTAGACTGTTCCTCAAAAAAATTAAAACTAGATTTACATATGATCCAACAATTCCAAGTCCAGGAATATACCCAAAAGGACTGAAAGTAGGGTCTTGAAGAGATATTTACTTATCCATGTTCACAGAGGAGTTATTCACAGTAGCTAAAACATGCAAGTAACCCAAGTGTCCATTAACAGATGAACAGATATGCAAAATGTGGTATATACATACAATGAAAGATTATTCAGCCTTAAAACAGAAGGAAATGCTGGCACATGCTACAACATGAATGAACCTTGAGGACATGAAATAAGCCAGTAATGGAAATAAGCCAGTCATGGAAAGACAAAGACTGTAAGATTTTACCTCTATGAGCAACCTAGAATAGCCAAAATCATAGAAACAGAAAGTAGAATGGTTGTCTTCAGGGCTGGGGGGAGAAAAGAATGGAAGTTATTGTTTATTAGATACAGAGTTTCAGTTTTATGTATGAGTAGAGAGAGAGAAAGAGAGAGAGAGAGAGAGAGTGTGTGTGTGTGTGTGTGTAAAATGCTTTGTTCAAATTCCTCAAGCTTAGGAAATAGGTCTTTTCTTTTTTACCACAGCCACTTTTCAGGAAAACACATACTTCCTTGGAACACTGGCTGAGAATTCCACAGTTGTCAGTCTTCAAGAGGGGGATTTTGTCAGTGCTTTTATGGAAAAGCAGCTGGATATAAAAAAGAGGAAAATGCACATAGTGATTTTCAAAGTGGCACTAGGCTCTGGTGGATGATATGGTAAAGCAAGAACATTCAGGATGTTATCCTCCTAAAACTAGGAACATAGTCAAAGCCTATGTTTCCTTTTTCTCTTAAGTCTACTTCGGTTTCAAACGTGTTCTCTCCCAGCATTTCTAGACTGGCATCCTGCCCCATTCCTCTTCTTCCCCTATCTCAACCCCCACCTCCCCACTTCCCTCCTCTGCCTGCACAGAGGTCTCCTTCTATGGTAAGAGGGATAAAGGCCCCCAAAGATGTCCATGTCCCCATTCCTAGGACCTGTGAATGTGTTGTTTCATGGAAAAGTGGAATTAAGGTTGCTAATCAGCTGACCTAAAGGTGGGGAGATTATCCTGGATCATCTGGGTGGGCCCAATGTAGTTACAAAGGTCCTTATGAGTGAACAAAGGGGGCAGAGGAAAGTCATAGGGAAATGTGACTAGAGAAGAGGTTAGAGTGATATGACATGAGAAGGACTCAACTCACGTTTGCTAGTTTTGAAGATGAGGGAAAAGGCCAAGAGCCAAGAAATGCTGGCAGCCCCTTGAAGCTAGAAAAGGAAACAGATTTTTCCTTACAGCCTCCAGAAGAAATGCAGCCCTGCCAACACCTAGAATTTAGCCCAGTGAGACTTATTTCAGACTCCTGACCTCCAGAATTGTAGGATAATAAATTTCTATTGTTTAAGCTACTAAATTTATCGTAATGTATCACAGCGGCAATAGCCAGTTCATATACTTTCTAGCTTAGTCTCCTCAAGACATCCACAGCTTTCCCTAGAAAATGAACAGGCATTAGGACATAGACTTTCTTAGATACTCAAATGAAAAGAATGGGTGGTTTACCCAGTTAATGGCAAATCTGTCAGCCAATAGCAGAGAAACCCTTAGTAATGATAGTGGACACAAGATAAGCCTTATTTCTCTTTACATAGATCGTAACCAGTTCACAGCTGGCCTAGTGGCTCTACCTTGTCAATAAGGACCCAGATCCTTCCTGCTCACCCTGGAGTGTAGCCTAGGGGTTCAAGATGGAGCTCTGTGGTCAACATGACTACCCTCCAGGCCAGTAGCAGGAAGAAGGGGAGACAAAGGGCACAACCCCTTCCTTCAAGGATACTTCTGCTTATATTTCATTGGCCAAAACTTTGGACTGAGCTGCAAGGGAGGCTGAGGAATGTATCTTTCAGCTAACTATGCCCAGCTAAAATTGAACATTCTCTGGGTCTCTGTTAAAAACAAAAACAAAAATTGTTATTACTAGTGAAGAAGAGAAGAAGGGGTATTTGGAGGCAAACTGTGGTCTCTGTGATCTGATTTATACTCAAGGGCAGGAGAACAGCTGGCCAGAATCCCAAAGCTCCCTCAGGCCCAATGAGGATTTGGTAATTCTGTGATAGTCTGTATTCTAGTGTGATAAATTTTAGTTTGTAAGAAACATTAACTTCACAGAACCGTGTCCAGGGGCTTGTAGATCGTGGCTGCATCCAGCTCTGGATGGATGGAAGAGTTAGGCTACTCTAATGGATAAGTCAGTATTCCATCTTGGCCCTGTGAGGCTTTGCAAAGTGGTTAGATGTTTGTTTGATTTGGGGGCCTATAATTTTCTTGTAGGACTGAGATGATTGGGTCGCTAACCATGCTGATGAAAGCATAGTTGTTAAAGCCTAATTTTATTTATTTATATTTGTTTGTTTTTACATGTTCCTTATCTTCAAGCATATGAAAGCAGAGTCAGAGATCTTTGTGGCTTTAAAAGCCCTTGCATCTTTCACCCCACTTTATTGTCTCCAAACCCTTTGAAAATAAGTTGAGGCAATAATTGATTTATCTGCCAGTTTATACTGCAAATATTGTCACGGTGGTTTATTTTGCAGTATTCTTTATAAAACAGCAGTCTCTATAAAGGGACTTCTTTATAGAGAGTTATACTTTTATTTTTTTTTTGGTCGTGAAGAGCTAGATATCAGAAATAAGAACCAAAGGAGATAATTTATAGTATTTTGTGGGGGGTTTTGGTAATTTAAAATTGTTTCTTGATTTTAGTAAAAAAAAAAAAAATCTCTGTATTGAACTTATTATGGGTTAGTCTTCCTTCCCCAGGTTTTCTCTTTGCCCTCTTTCCTTTTTTAGATGGTAACCTGATCCTACTTTATCCATAGATAAAAATATTCCCCAAAGCTAGCAGAAGTCAAGGTTTTTAATATAATGTCTTCAGAACAAGCTTCAACCAGCGTTGACTGCAGCAGTGTTGTAATGCTCTGCTTTTCTTGAGTCATGCACTCTAGTTAAACTGCAGCTCTCAGACACTGCTTCATTCTTGGGGGTCAGTGACCTCAAGGGGCTCATCTACACAGACGGTCCTGAAAGAGTACGTGGCACCTTGGCATGAAACAAGACCTGATCAGAGGGTGGGGGAAGTGGGCACTGAAAATAAAATAGGATGCACCCCGAGATGAACAACAAGAATGAAGTGCGATGGAAGGTCAGGAAAGAATTAGGAAAGGACTGAAATTGGGATTGGAAGTGGAAGGGGGTGGGAGTGAGGGTGGGAAGAGGTCAGGCAGAGCCAGTGGCTAGGAAGCCGTCTCACCATCTACATAGGTACAGAGCTCCACTCTCCAAACATTTATCTTCCATCTTCACATTTTAAAAAGTAGCAAGTCTGTGGTACTTAATTTAGGATGCCACTCGTGAACTCATTGATATAATTAACAACTTAGATATGGCAGTCCCTCCCCCTGGACTTTATAGATATGATCCTGAAGAATTGTGAGTAAAGTGAGTAGTTGTAAATAAAGCCATGTTTCAGGCAGAGTAAATGAAATGATTATTTCTCTTGCTGGATCAGTAACACTGCAAAGCCACACCTCCTACTGCAGTGTCTCTGCAGTTTAATAGGCCTTGGTGATTAGAGTTAACCAGAAAGCTGGTGTATGAACCCACCAAGAACACTTGGTAAACTCGGTGTCTTTAGTCCTGAAGGGTTATATAATTTACCATTCTTCTCCTTGCTTGCCTTTCACTCATCTGCCTAGGGCACTTAGCACAGTATATGACAATAGTAGTACCCAATAAATAACAACAGTAGTAATGTATATGGTCACCCTTATTATTTTTGAATTTATTTCATAAACTATGATAATTTTAATAACTTGCTTTATTAATGTGGCAGCACATCTTACTATAACTGACTCGGTAACATTCTTCATTTCCCCCCCTAACTAAGGATGGAAGGCGAGAAGGTGCGGGGAGTTGGAAAAGCAAACCCCATATTCTGGTCTGCCTGGCAGCCCAAGGCAGTGCTGGACTGAAGAGGTAGAGGCTGGACTAGCCAGGCTCGACTGCAGCCACTCTTTCGAGATCCTCAATTACGATGAACCTGCACATCTGACAGCTCCTGAATTCTCTCATGCATTCTTCCTCGTTTTCTTTCTCAGGGTGTCTGAAACCCCCCCCCGGCACTCCAATGGCCAGCAACAACACTGCCAGCATAGCACAAGCCAGGAAGCTGGTGGAACAGCTGAAGATGGAAGCCAACATTGACAGGATAAAGGTAAGGACAGAATAACCCACACAAGGGGCATGCCTGGCCGCAACCTATCATTTACTACTTCCAGAGTGAGTGAGGATGGAAGAGAAACTTAATCATCAGGCAGAAGTTCATTTTTCTAATGTCTTGGCTTTCTCTAGATTTCTCCAGCATAATATGATAGTGTAAATTAAAATTGATTATCCATCTAGGATTAAAAACAAAACAACAACGAAATAAAACAGAAATAAAACATAGGCTCCTGCCTGGCCAGGTGTGGCTCAGTGGTTGAGTGTCGACCTATGACCCAGGAGATCACAGTTCGATTCCCGGTCAGGGCACAGGCCCGGGTTGCGGGCTCGATCCCCAGTCAGGGGTGTGCAGGAGGCAGCCGATCAATGACTCTCTCATCATTGATGTTTCAACTCTCTCTCTCCCTCTCCCTTCCTCTCTCTGAAATCAATAAAGATATATTAAAAACAAAGAAACAAAAAGAAAACATAGGCTCCTGACTGAATTCTAGCGAAGGAAATCGGAGAACACATAAAACATAGCAGTCCGCCAGTCAACCTCCCTTACCTTCTATGACCTTCTTATTTGGGTTTTAATTTTTTTCTGTCCTGATTTAAGTTCTAAGTTTAAGTTGCCCGTTTTTCATGTCTAATCATTCTAATTCACCATTGTAGGTTGTTGTTTTTTTCTTTATACCTTATTGTATTTTTTAATCCAAAACACAAAAATCACACATGGTCTCCCTGAGAAGTCAAACAGCATAGAGATTGAATGGAACTTAGCCTACTTTTTACCTTCTTTCGCTCACTCCCCAGATCTAACCTGACCGCTTTGCCTTACGCTGGGCCTAACTAATTTGGAACCAAGACTTTAAATCCAAACTCCTTGTTGTCAGATTTCAAATGTAAAGTTTATCTACACAGTGTCCTTATTAACGGATAGCTCCTGCAGGGTTGGGAAAGTGAATTTTTGTCAACCACCAAAACTTTCCCAGAAGAACCAAACATTTTATGAAATGGGACTCAGAAACATATCTTATTTTGCTAAAATAAAACTAGAACATTTTCCAAATGCTTTTTTTATAAACTAGAATATTTTCCCCATTTTCTCTATACCTGACTTGGCAACCTGGACAATCCAGCCTCCTTTGGAGTGTGCTTCTAGAGTGGAGATCAATAAATTATGGCTCATGAGCCAGAGTCAGCCTACTGCCTGTTTTTATAAATAAAGTTTTATAGGAACACAGCTGCACCCATTCATTTACATATTGTCTATGGCTACTTTCACACTCCAACAGCAGAGTAGAGTAGTTGCAGCAGAGACTATGGGGCCCACAAAGCATAATATATTTACTCTCTTACCTTTTACAGAAAACTTTGCTGCCCCCTGGTCTAGAGCAATGGTTCTTGGCCCATCTGTACATTCAAGTCACCCAGGGAATTCTATCAATGGACCAATTCTAAGACCATATCCTAGACCAATTAAATTAGAATCTCTTGGGGTATGATTCGGGCATGAGTATATTTTTTTAGTTATTGGTTAATGTCAATGTATAGCTGAGGTTGAGGACCTTGGTTCTAGGGGAAGGGGTTAGTTCCTTTTAACTCCCATCAGATATGTGCCAGAGAGTGGAGGGAGAGCTGGTGTTCCCTCATAAATAAGCTTTTCCATCTATCCTAAATCTCCTTTGTAAAATCTGAGTCCTGCTAATGGGCCACAGGATGGTAAACAGCTTCTACTCTTCTTGCAACAGCTTCGCTCTTCTTTATTCACAAATGAGGTAAATAAAGGTCCTTCACCGTGTGCCTTGCTCCTGTGCCACCTTCCTCGTCACCTCTTTTCCCTTCGCCTCTCCTTGTATACGCCCTTGCTGAAAAAGTACAGTGTGTCAGGTGGGCACAATAATTGCTGAGAGAAGTGAGGTGGCCTGAGGATGGCGGCATCCGAAAGAGTTTTCTGCAGTTCTTCCTTTTGTGGGGATGGGGGGCAGTTTCTGCTCATAAACCTTCTGGAAAAGTCCACTTTCCCTTTTGGGGTGGCCCAACTAAGCGAAAAGTGTTTGTGAAGAACTATTGTGGTTGGCATTTCCTGTTATTATTCAGCATCCCTGGGCCTGCCTTCCGAGGGAGGTTGTGATAGTATTGATGGGGATGAAAAGCTGACAGTGAGAGGAAGAAGAAAGATAGAGGCCTTCTCAGACATAGCTCAGACCTTTATCATTCCTCACCTGACTATTAACTGCAAGGGGCTTTTAGCTGATCCCTGAAAGCCCATCTCAATTACCCTCCCTGTCGCTGCCAAAGAAAAATTTCCTTAAAAAATTTCATTATATTCCTCTCCTATTGAAAATCTTTTTATGATTGCCATCACCTGTAAAATAAAATTCAAACTCTCTATTTAAAAATTATTTTTTCATTACACTTGCCATACAATATTATATTAGTTTCAGGTGTTCAACATAGTGATTAAACATTGGCATACCTTACAAAGTGATCACCCCTGTAATTCTAGTACCCATCTGGCACCATGCATAACTATTACAATATTATTAACTATATTCCCTATGCTGCACTTTACATCCCAATAACTATTTTTGGGATGTAACTTTCAATTTGTGCTTCTTAATCCCTTTCACCTTTTTCAATATCTTATAGTTTTCTAAGTACAAGTCTTTTACCTTCTTGGTTAAGTTTATTCACAGGTATTTTATTCTTTTTAATACAATTGTAAATGGGATTGTTTTCTCAATTTTTCTTTCTGATTATTTGTTATTAGTGTGTAAAATACAATCTATTTCTGAATATTAATTTTATATCTTGCTGCTTTACTGAATTTATTTATTAGTTCTAATAGTTTTGGGGTGGAATATATAGGATTCTCTCTATATAGTATCATGTCATCTGCAAATAATGACAGTTTTACTTCTTCCTTTCCAATTTGGATGCTTTTTATTTCTTTTTCCTGTCTGATTGCTGTGGCCAGGACTTCTATTCTTATGTTTAATAAAAGTGGTGAAAGTAGGCATCCTTGTCTTATTCCTGATCTTAAAGAAAAAGCTTTCAGTTTTTCACTGTTGAGTCTGATGTTAGTTGTGGGTTTGTCATATATGGCCTTTGTTATGTTGAGGTATGTTCCGCCATCCCCACTTTGCTGAGAGTTTTATCATAAATAGATGTTGGGTTACGTCAAATGTTTTTTATGCATCTATTGGTATGATCATATCATTCTTATCCTTCATTTTGTTTATGTGATGTATCACATTATAAAATTCAAATTCTTTAGAAGAGTATGCAAGGTCCTTCTAGACCCTGCCCATCTTTCAGCTTCATTCCCTTCCTTTTGTCCACTTGTTATACTGAACCACTTAATTCCCTTGATGGGAATTTCAAATGCCTAGAACGTTCAGTCTCCTCCTCTCTACCTTTCTGTTTTATTAACATCAATGAATTTACATATCCTTGAAGACTCAAGTCAATCATTATGTCCTTTAAAAAGCTCCCCCAAACCCTCCTCCTAAAGTTGAATTTTTGCTATTTCTTCAGTTGTTCATTTATTCATTTTTCTGATAAATATTTTACTGAGAGCTTTCTAAATTTCCAGGCTTCATTAGGTACTAGTGATATAGAGATGGGTAAAGATGAAGACATGATTCTTGTCCTCAAGGATCTTTTTGTCTAGTGAAGGGTTACACAAACTATGAATAAGACCTATCAATGATGCCAGTAAGATATCCAAGGAGCATAATTACCAAATATTGTAAGAAAGAAGCCAACAGAACACCCTGATTATCTTTGTATACTACTTCTAAAGAAACCAAACAAATCACTATTAAAAGAGAGACAAAACATCAGCCTAATCAACTGAGCTCCAAGGAGTTGTCTTCCTAGGTGATCTTCTCATTCAAACCTCCAAATCCCTCTTGATGTCATTAGATCTTAAATTGTTGGAAGCACAGCAGCAGCCTGTATTTCAGCATTTGCTCTGCACATCTGAGCCAGGCTGGCATGCTGTGAAGTGTCAGATTATTTTTAGTTTAGCTGTTGGATAAAATTGCGGCTGTGTTGACACAGTTGTCAGCTAACTGGTTTAGGGTTTGGTTATCTGCCTTTGGGGTCCCTTCAGGGCTTCTGAGCATTCAGGCTTCTGTACCTGCTTTCCATGCATGATACTGTCAGCAGGAAGGGGCTTCTCTCTGAAGAGCCCAGGTTGTGATTTTCTAGTCGGAGTAGTGACCTGCTCGAGTCATCATTTCTGGCTGCAATGGCTTCACGCACATCCAGCAGAGCCTACCGTGGCTGAGGCCACAAGGAACAGGGGTAAAGGGGCACAGCTGGCCCTGGAGCTGCCGAGGGTCCCTTAAGCAGGAGGTGGCCTATATCTCATGTGGCCTCCAGAATAACTCAGGCTGCATAGAGTAGCCCTACTGTAAAAGGATCTGAATAGTGTATTCATTTTTAAAATTTCTTGTTTCCTATCCCTTTGCATCACAGATCCTGGGAGATTTGGGCTAAGGAACCCATTATCTATTCATAAGCCTCAGGCATATATATTATACTCTCAGCCTTTCTGTGTTTTTTTGTTAGTATTTCATTCAGGGACAGAAGGTAAAATCAAAGGGAGCTGGGCAGGGGTCTGGGGGCAGGGGCAGGGAGGGTGTTGTGGAGACGTGACACACAGATATGTGAAGCAGCAGTACACTCACACTGAGGCGAATGAAAGAAACCCTGTGCTGAGAGAGCATGCATAAAAGTAAAGGACAGCAGGACTTCAGTAAAGCTATTTATTCATCACTATGTTGGGAGTCTTTGGGTTTCTAATAATAGGAACCTAACCCAAGCCAGCTTAAGCAAAAAGAGGGGGTTGATTGTAAAAGATAGAGAGTGTCTCAGAACCCAAGAGCAGAAATGTCGCTGGGTTAGCAGTGGACGTGAGAACTGGAAGGCCATCAGGAACTGTGCGCTCTCTGCTTCTCTCTGTGTGTCTGCCTCTTTCTTTTCCCGGGAAGAACAGAT